AAGAGTCGTGGATCTACAGATACGGCGCGAACTTGGAGCATAGCGGAGTACGTTACTGGCTTTGCAGAATCTGTCACGGGAAGAAGAACTATTCGACAGCGTTATACGCCTCCTCAGGGACGTCTCACGCCGCGAAGCACCTGCGTCGTCAGCACCAAATCACGGAATTCGGCGAGAGTCGTCCCGGATTGAAGACTCCGTTTACCTTGGCGGCTACGTCACCATCCTCTTCGTCCCTACCTTTATCTCGACAGGCCAGCCTAGCTACCAGCTCGCCTCCCATTTCGACGAGAGGACATGGAAAGCTCGCTTTGTGGACTGGGTCATAGTGGAAGATGTCACCTTTCGACAAGCATCCAGCGAGCGGCTTGGGTGGCTCGTATCGAATGGAGGAGAGCTTGCAAGTCGGCTACTTCCGGAGCATCACACCACGATCTGCTCATGGATTCGTCAAGCCTTTGAACGCCGACAGCAAATTGTCTTTGATCTCGTCAAGAACGCGAAGAGCTCGGTTCACACCAGCTTTGATCTATGGACTGCTTCAAATGCGTTTAACTACGTCGGAATTGTCGGACATTTTGTTGGCAGTGAATGTAAGGGGCTACGCCCCGATGTGTAGATCTGGCATGGCCAGACTAGTCACGTGCGAGCGCCACGGACACGACTCCTAAAGGGAGCGATGTAGACACGTCTCCCCTTTACACTCTTTGTAGCTCAATTTACATCAATTACGCCCAGCACCTGTGCCAACAGTGCTGACCCTGTAACATATTGAGCTACCAGTTAACAAAAGACAGGACAGACAGAAGGACAGACAGCAGGACAGACAGCAGGACAGACAGCAGGACAGACAGCAGGACAGACAGCAGGACAGTCAGCAGGACAGACAGCAAGACAGACGATAGGCTAAACGACGAGACGGACGATCGATCGGACGACGAGACGGACGAACAAGATGGAGGACAATAGTAGTTATGCAGGGCACCGCGACCGGCGGCGCAACGAGCCGATGGAGGGAAGGAGCAAGAGCTCTTGCAGATCTTATCTGGGATCGCGGGAGACGAAGAACTGCGGAAGATGTTCACCGGGCTAGGCCTAGCAGCGCCACCGTTGACACCCAGCCCGGGGGTGCTCAGTACCCCGGCGATCTTACCCGTCGAACCGAGGCCGGAAGCAGCCCAGGAAATGGACCGTGGCAAGAAGCGCAAGCCGATGACTTGGCCGAAGTGGAACGGTCAACCCGAGTCCTTCCACTTCTACCTCGACCGTCTGGTATTTAAGTACAATACCGACGAAGAGGAGGGCCTAAACGGCAATAACAACGTCGTGTGGTACGAGATCCTGCAGACCTTGCCGGATCAGATGATGAGGAGAGTCGAGGGTTTTTGGAGGCAAGAGAGCGCGAAGGGCAACCCAGACCCCCGGAAATTCTTCTCGCACCTAGCCCAGACGTTCGGCAGCGTGCAGCAGACAGAGAGGGCGCAGGACAGGCTGCGCACCCTCATTCAACGAGACAGCCAAGAGTTTGGGAAGTTCCTCCCTGAATTCGAGGAAACATTGACCAAAGCGGGCGGCGCGAGCTGGGATAATGCTTCCAAGCTCGCATGGCTACGGAACTCGATCTCTCCTGCTCTCCGTGAGCAACTAGTCCCGGTTATCATGCCGAAGGACTACAACGAGTACATCCAACGTCTACACCGATTGCTTGGGCGTTCGAGCACACCGCGAAGTTTAAGGCGTTGCAGAGGAAGCAGGGCTCCGCGGGCAACGTGACCAAGGGCAGGCATCAGGCATCGGCAACATCCAGGTCGCCGGTAACGACAACACCCCGGCACCGTCAGCAACGTTACCCGCCGAGCAGAACGCACGTGACGCACGCGACCATGACGGCGACGTAATAATGACGGTTACACGCACTCAGGGCAGGGTCAGAGAGGACGGGCGAACGGCCAGGGGTCAAGTGGAACGAGCAAGACGGTTCGCTTCCAGCCTAGGTCAGGACGGAAGCAACGGGCGAGGTGGGTATCCGAGGACGAACGGAATAAACGCCGTGACGAGGGTCGTTGTCTCCGCTGCGGCGACAACACCCATTTCATTGCCGCTTGCCCCTACTCGCCAGGACAGGACCCTAGCCGGTCGAGGGATGTAAAGTCCGCACCGCTAGGATCATGCCCTTGCTGGAAGATGATGGTAACGACTCTAGTGAGGAAGAGTCAGGACTTAGCGAGACCCCATCCTCTCGGAAATGCGTAGCCTCGAAACAAAGACGGGTCTCGAGGCCAAAGAACGGAGCAGTGGCAAAAGAAGAGAAGTTCTCAGGAAAATGGAAGTTGGTCCTACAATAATTCGAAGCATTATCAATAGGACCAATCTCTTCTCCTCACTCGTAGACGAGGGATGCCAGTGCTACGCCGCGGTTGACGAAGAAGTCGTCGAAAAGTTGGAAGTTCCTATAGTGGAAATAGCACCGCGAGCTATTACAGGAGCATCAGGGGCAATGGAAGGAGCAACGATTAGGGGCCTCGTATGGCTATCAATGGAGGTCAACGGCCACATACAGACGATCTGTGCCTACGTGGTGCCCCGATTGAATTCCCTAATCCTAGGAAAACCCTGGTTATGCCACACAAAGTCGTACTCAGTGCCCCACGAGAAACGACTATGGCATGAACCTACACAAGACTGGGTAGATCACCTCGGGAAGGAGAATATTCTGCGAAAGCCAAGGAGTTCGAAGAAGCAAAGCACGTACTAGCCAGTACCTTTGTGGGTTACTTTGAAAGGATCCGCAAGCAGGAAGGAAGAGAGGCAGCTGCCACGGCGATTTTCGCTATCAGCATGAAGGATATCGAAAGGGCGTTATCACCAAAGAAACCCATGTCAGAAGCAGAGCTACGCCGAACGATACCCCAGCGGTTCCACGATTTACTGCCTCTATTTATGAAGAAGGAAGCTGATAAGCTGAATCCTCATAAGCCAGGCATAGACCACGAAATCAGAATCAAGGAGGACCCGAATGGCCAGCAGTTACCACTACCGTATGGAGCACTATACGGTATGTCACGAGGAACTCCTGGTTCTTAAGAAGACTCTACGAGACCTAGTGGATAAAGGATTTATCCGTGCAAGCAGTTCAGAAGCAGCAGCTCCAGTCCTGTTTGTGAGGAAACCAGGTGGCGGGCTGCGATTCTGTTGTGACTACAGAGCGTTGAACGCAATCACTAAGTCGGACCGTTACCCCTTCCTCTAATAGGGACACACTTCGCAACCTAAAAGATGCGAAGTGGTTCACTAAGGTCGACGTGGTACAAGCGTTCCATAAAGTACGGGTTGCAGAAGGAGACGAGTGGAAGACAGCGTTCCGCACCCGGTACGGTCTCTTCGAATGGATGGTTACCCCGTTCGGGCTAAGTGGCGCGCCAGCAACCTTCCAGCGGTATATTAACGGTATCCTACGAGACTACCTCGACGAGTTCGCCTCTGCTTATATGGACGATATACTTATCTATTCGAGCGGGAGCAGAGAAGACCATTTCCGGAAGGTACGGTTAGTTTTAGAACGCCTCGCCGAGCATGGACTACACCTAGACCCGGAGAAATGCGAATTTGGAGTCAAGCGGATTAAGTACCTAGGATTCATTATTCACGCAGGAATTGGCATTCAGGCAGATCCCGACAAGATACGAGCAATAGTCGAGTGGGCAGTCCCGTTACCCAGAAGGGGTGCGCAGTTTTCTAGGATTCGTTAACTACTACCGGATATTTATACCGCAAGCCTCGGAAATAACTGCACCCTAACAGCACTAACAGGAAAGGGGACTAAGTTCAAGTGGACGGACGAGCACGATATGGCGTTCCAGACACTAAAGACGCTATTTACGAACGCCCCTATTCTTACTCAATGGGATTTCGAGAGGCCAACCTTCGTAGAAGCAGACTGTAGCGGCTGGGCGCTTGGGGGCACACTTACGCAGGAAGTCGACGGACAACGCAAGCCAGTAGCGTTCCACTCGCAGAAGCTATCACCGGCTGAGCGCAACTACCCAATCCATGATAAGGAAATGCTCGCTATTATTCGTTGTCTCGAACAATGGTCAGCCGAGCTACGAAGCTGTGATAACTTCGTTATCCTTACCGACCATAAGAACCTCGAGTATTTCATGACGCGCCAACAGCTCTCGGAAAGGCAGGCACGTTGGGCTGAATATCTCTCGCGTTTTAACTTCCAGCTCCAGTACCGTCCGGGACGGGAAGCAGTGGTGCCAGACGCGCTCTCTCGCCGCGAACAGGACCGACCAAACGAAGCGGATCACGAAGCACGAGATATGCAGCTTATTCCAGAAGCAGCCCTACGTACCTACGTCGGAGTAACGTCGACTCAAGCGGAGAAGGAGAAGAAGAACACACGGTTTTCCACGACCCAGAGCTACAACAATTATGGCAGCAAACGGCAAACCAGGATCCAGTCTTTACAAGCGTTTATAACGCGGTACGAAACGGATCTCGGTCCTCGACCCCAAGCTTAAGCTGAAGGTACAAGTCGCCGAGTGCTTTATTGATCCTCGGGGCACCTACGACTACGTGGCCTCTTATGGGTGCCAGGCGCACCGATCACGACAGAAGCAGCAGCCAAGGCAGCACCGCTAGAGCAGGAGTCGCTAAACGAATTACGGGCTCCTTAATCCAGAAGGTTCATGACTCCCATGTAGTAGGCCACCCGGGACGGGAAGGGACGATAGAAGCCGTATCCAGGGACTTCTACTGGCCGCTAATGCAACAGCATATCCGACGTTTCTTGCGTAACTGCGATGTCTGCGGCCGTACGAAGATATGGCGCGAGCATAAAAGGGGTCTACTTAGACCGCTACCCGTACCGGACCGCTTCTTCCGCCAGATACAGATGGACTTTATTACGGACCTCCCTTGCGAACGGTAACCGCTGCCTCTGGGTTATCAAGGACCGGCTAAGTAAGGAAGTTATACTCGAACCGATGCCAACGATGGAAGCGGAAGCATGTGCAGAGCGTTTTCTATGGTGCTTCGCCCGCTACCACTGGTGGCCCGACGCTATAACGAGCGATAGGGGCTCGAATTGTAGGCCGCTTTGGAGGCACATGTGCAAGTTACTGGGGATCGACCAGCAGCTAAGCACGGCGTACCACCCCAAACCGACGGAGGCCCTGAGAGGATGAACCAAGAAGTACAGGCATACCTCCGCGCCGTGATTAACCAGAACCAGAACGACTGGGATAAGTGGGTTCCCGCGGCTCAGATGGCGTTAAACGGTCGGGTCAATACTCTATAGGGATGTCCCCATTCTTCGCTATACACGGCTATGAGCCGAAGTCACCAGTTCCTCGTTACGGAAGCATATGCGGAAGAGTATCCTCAGCATTCGCCAGAAACCAGGGCAAAGAAATTTGTTACCAAACTACAACAGATTACGGACCTCTGCCAAGCATCAATGGCGACAGCTACGCAGCAACAAGAACGCTTCGCTAACAGACGACGGAACGCGGCAGAACGCTTCGAAGTAGGCGATAAGGTTTGGCTTGACTTACGGAACTACGCGTCAGAGCGACCTAAGAAGAAGTTCGACTGGCTGCACGCTAAGTATACGATAAGCAAGGTACTCGACCCGTACACGGTTGAACTAGCAGACCTCCCGAGGGGCTGCTATAATAGGTTCCACGTCGACCAACTCCGGAGAGCGGGACGGACCCAATGCCTGGTCAGCAACGCACAGACGCTCAACCCCATCTATCCAAGTAGACGGGGAGGCTCACCAAGTAGTAGAGGAAATACTATGCGCTAGGTGGAAGAGAACCGGCCGCGGCCGTAGGCGGGAAGTCCTTGTACGCTGGCAAGGTTGGCAAGACCCGACCTGGACCTCTTTAGACAATATGCAACAGACAGCGGCCTTGGATAAGTACGAACAGAGATACGGCCCGGCTCTCGAAAACGATGGACCATACCAGCACCGACGAGTGGCAACGGAAGCACAGCCGGCCCAAATCCAGGGGCAAGTCGAAGGAATACAACCACAGCTGCAGATACAGGGCAAGAGAATACGCGGACCACTACGGGCTAGGACTAATGGCGACGCCCCGTCGATAGTAACGGCACCAGACCCTATAGACGACGGCCCTACGATCGTTGTAGAGGGACCAGGAACAGGAAAAGGGCACCAGCGCCAGAGAGGAGTAGGGGTTAATGTAAGGCTACGCCCCGATGTGTAGATCTGGCATGGCCAGACTAGTCACGTGCGAGCGCCACGGACACGACTCCTAAAGGGAGCGATGTAGACACGTCTCCCCTTTACACTCTTTGTAGCTCAATTTACATCAATTACGCCCAGCACCTGTGCCAACAGTGCTGACCCCGTAACAGTGAAGGCCAAAAACGCGATGTCCTTCTTGGACTTCCGCGCTTAGTCGGTCCACACTCCGGTGAGAATATCGCCGCCTATCTCAAGGAGGTAATCGATCGATACGAGTTGGGGTCCAAGCTTGGATACTTCATGCTTGATAACGCCAAGAGCAACGATACCTGCCTAGAGACGCTTGCTAGGTGGTTTCCAATGGATGTCAGCCGACGCCGCCTACGCTGTATAGGCCACGTCAGGGTGGCAAACCACTCAATCAACTCAACCAAAGAGTCAAATTGAGTAGATTGACGGCTTACATCAGCGAACCTCTCGTTGAGTTGAGCAATCCAAGCCCTCGTTGAATTGATTGCGTTGATTGATGGAGTTGATGCCCTACCCTACCTATTAGTAAGCTACTTAAGGTCCTCAACACCATCAACTTCTCGTCCTTCGTGGGGCACCTCTTCGGGAAGACATCGTCATCGACTGAAGCATCAATAATCCCTGGTAGTCGGGTATTAGCCCTGCCTTCAGCCAAGACCGAATTGCCTGGCCTGCATTGATCGTGTTAGCCTGAAGCCGGCTGCGTAGTCGTGTGACCATTAGCCCAGCAAATGAGAACGCCTCTCGCACTCTGCTGACATTGGCGGTATAGATAGCATATCAAAGGCCATTCGAGCAAGTCTGGGATACGTTGACTCTTTGAGTTGCCAGTATTGGAACGGATCCGTGATGTCTCCGTCATCTGCGCCGATATCAACAGTCCAGCGATCGAATTCATCGGCAGTAGGTGGCCCACGACGGGTTGTGGCCGTCTGACCAGCTTGTAGCCGGTGCCTCAGTCGGAACTGTTGGAACTCGTTCAAGTCGTCAACCTTTCGACGTTTAACCATCGGAATAGCCTCGTCATCGCTGAGAATTAATGACTTATAGTCGCGTTCCCAGATGCCCCGAACAATCCGTCGTGCCTCAAGGACCCATTCAGGTCGATGAGCCCAAGCCTCCTCAAACCATTGCAGTCGCAAGGCGGGATGGAGAGCGACTGCAGCATAATATACCGGGCACTCAACCAACTTGATATAGTATTTCTCCAACTTCTTCCACCCCAATTCGACGTTTATCGCGAAATGCTCGGAATCAGGCACATCCTTGGCGAATTCCTTTGCCTCTTCCAATCGTTCAAGGAGATATTCGAATGCTTGGATAATATCCCATGCTGTTCCGTATGCCACGAGGTTGCCGCCCTTACGCACCCGAATCTGGGCATCTCCTCGAGGGCCTTGATGGCATTTTCGAAGTGCTTAAGAATATTCCGAAAGTGGCTGATCACTGTCCAGTCGTTACCGGTCAGCAGGTCAGAATCTCGGAGGCATGCAGGCATGTCTTTCTTCTTTGACCTGCTTCGGGTATATTCGAACTGTTCCAATGCGACGAGGTCGTCAAGAAAGTCGTGCAGTAGAAGGGCTCGATCCATCATCTTATAATGGGACAACCATCGTGTCATGTTATCCGTTAGAACGTCAACTGGTTTCTTCGTACTGTCCCTCTTGCGTTGTAGATCCCGAAGCATGTACGTTAACCTATCCGATTGATGAATCCAGTGGACAAGGTTGTGGAGCTTGCCAATAGGCCCCCTCTTCCGCCAGAGATCATGTCGAGCAAGGTCCAGGTCGAGTCGCTCTTCTGATTTGAAGACTTCATTATCTTTGCCAAAGAGCAGCGCTTTGGCCACGAGATTGATGATATGCCCAAAGCAGCGGACCCGTCTCTGCTTCCCTTCAAAATTAAAAACGTGTCCCAGTGCTGCTACCGCCGTATCGTTATTCTTCGCATTGTCAAGCGTGAAATACCCGATCTTGTCTTGAATCTCGAATGATTCGATCACTTCCGCCACCTGCGACGCTATATTCTCGCCAGTATGAGACTCTCGGAGTTCAGGAGCCCAAGGATGATCTTCTGTGGCCGCTTTTCCTTAGAGAGATAGAACGCAGCAATCCCATTAAGCGCATAGCGATTGGGCGATCTCCAGCCGTCAAACGCAAGGTGTATCTGCCCGGGCGCTCCTCAGTTCCTTTATCACAATATGCTTGTACTGGTGGTATTCTTGGAAAAGCTTCGTTCGAATAGTCGAGTGTGTCATGTGGGCTTGAGTCAGGGCGATCGAGGGATTGAGGTATTCGAGAAGACGCCGGAATCGAGGGGCTTCAACTGCGCGGAAGGCAACATTCGACTCGGTGATACAAGCAAGCAAGAGAGATTGGAAGACATCTTTATCGAATTGGTTTTTTAGCTTGTTAATGAATGCTTGCTCCTTCTGGTCATTGGCATCGAGGTTGAAGAATTGGGCAATAGAACGCTTGTTGGTTGTAGAACCCTTCGGTAACCGTCTACCTGATGGGTCAATAACATTGTGAGCATCATGTAGATGGCGCTCAATGTTTAGGGTCCCTTTGCCGCGAAGCTCACGGGTCCCTTCGGCGATTTCTTCGGTAAACACCGCTCACAGACCCAGAGGCGATTATCTACGTTAGCTTGACGTTCAATGTCGAACCCAAAGCTCCAGATCCACGATTTGAGCTTGCCGGCGCGTTGAGACTTGGTATAGCCGCGGAAGTGATGCCAGGGGAAGGCATCCCACTCGAGATGGGGAACGGGGCCTGAGTCGCCTGAATCGCCTGATGGCGGCAAGGGAGTAGAAGAAGGCTCAGGAGATTCGCTCATTGCATATAGGAATGTTTAGATCAGCCAAGGCGTTGTGGAAGAATCGAGAAGTGTAAGTGGAACTGAGGCGAGAGATTGAACTTTGTTGTGAAGCGCGTCGATGCGCGCAGCGCGTCGACTCTTCCAACGGAACAGGGGGCCCTGTTCCCCGAAGAGGAGAGCAGGCTTACCTACAACGGGCCTGAGTAACCTGTAAGGTTAGTGGTAGCTATATACCCAATCCGTACCTACATTTCGCCTTGGCCACCTACCCTACAGGATCCCTGACCGTCAACGGCAATCTCATCAATCCATCAATCAACGGGAGCATGAATTGAATTGACAAGCTTATTCAGCAGACACTCGATTGAGTTGATTGAGTTGACGGTTGCTCAACTATATTGAGCAACCGTTGCTGGGATTGAGTGGTTTGCCACCCTGGGCCACGTTATCAACCTGGTTGTCCGAGCAGTTATTTTTGGCTCCAACGTCAGTAAATTCGAGGCTGAGCTTCGTGGAGCTACAGATGAGTTCAAGTTCGACATTTGGGCCAAGAAAGGAGCTATCGGCAGACTCCACAACATTGCCACCTACATTCGACGGACAGATCAGCGACGACAGGGTCTTCGGCATTTGCAGACCGAGCTCGCTGGTGACGATCCTATTTTTACCCTGGAGATTGTTGTTGACGGCAAGACTCGCTGGAACTCTATATACATGATGATCAAACGCGGTACGTTTCTCGTCCGAGGTTGCTTCCGTATTCTGAGTACTGACAACTTGTCGGCTTACACCAGCACTCGAACTGCGCTGCGCCATCGAGCTCTATCAATCTCGCTGGCAAAAGCCTAAGAATGACCCTGATCACCGTGACCTAACTAACGACTTCCTCAACGCTGGGGACTGGGTTGAATTAGAGCGTTTCTACGAGTTCTTGAAGCCGTTTTATATCCTGACGAAGACTATAGAGGGCAACGCCAGTAAGCCGGGGGCGGAGGGCGGCCACGGCGCTGTGTGGGAGACACTTAAAACCATGGACTACCTGTTCATGAAATTCAAGCAGGCCGCGGAGGATACTCAGTTCGAGGAGGCCTCCCATTTTAAGTCGGGAATTGACTGTGGATGGGCGAAGCTTGAAGACTATTACGTCAAAACCGATAGGACACCTGTTTATCGGGCAGCTCTAGCACTGCACCCGTCGTATGGGTACGACTACTTCGAACGACACTGGAAGAAGGCGATGAACAAGCCGCAATGGTATAGCGACATGCAGTCGGCTGTTGGTAGCCTATTCGATGAATACCGGAGGCAGACTGAAGTTGAAACTCAGGCTCAAGCTGGGTTTTGGAAGACGAATCCGAGGAAGTCGACGCTGACAATGACTACAGCTCGTTTGGAAAGAGATCGATTAGCTCGTTAAACACACAGCGGAAGAAGGTCAAGGCAGTGAGTGAGCTTGACTTATTCCAGACCAGGCCAATTTACGCCCAAGATCTTGACGTTGCAAACCCTCTTGAATGGTGGAGCCGGCATCAACTAGAATACCCAGTCTTGTATCGAATGGCGCTAGATCTGTTCTCAATTCCTGGCATGAGTGCTGAATGTGAGAGAGTGTTTAGCCAGACAAAGAAGATGATCACAGACGAGCGCAATCAGCTATCGCCTGAAATAGTCGAGGCTGATCAGCTTCAAAAGCAGTGGCTAATGAGGGTTGGTAGCTTAGTAGGTGTCTATAATGAAAGAAAAGGTATTTTTGGTCTGTGGTTATTTGATAATACCCCATACCGTAGCACCACGGAATCAGTCAATCAGACCATCAGACCATCAGACCGACCGGCCCTCCAACCCAGACAGACCTAGACCGACAGACCGACAGCCACGGCAAACCCAGACCGACAGACCGAAGGGGCCGGTCTAGGTCTGTCGGTTTGTTAGCCACACTGCTCCCCTCCGACCAGGTCGGCGTCTGCGGGGTTCTTGCGTTCCTGCCAGCGTCTCGTACCTCTCCCTAGGGCCATCATTGGTGTTGATTGGCCCGTACTTGTCCTCGAATGCCTTCATCGCAATTGTTCCTTGCAACCACTCAACTGGCTCCCAAGTCGGCTCTGCGTAGCCCGTCCATCGCACTAGTGCTTGCCTGAATGTCCCTCGTCCGCGCTTCTTCCATCTCGCGCAGAGAATCTCGTCGACATCCCACAGATCCGCGCCGGACTCATCTTGTACCGGTGGTGGCTGTGCGTCGTCCAACTTTTGGCCAGGAGCCGGATCTTGATGCGCCCGCCGCAAAAGGTCAACATGAAATCGCGGGTAAATTGAGCCACGAACATCGAGCTCAACAACGTGCGAACTAATTACCTTCGTGACTGTGTACTTGTGATGCAGCCAGTCGAGCTTCTTGCACGGTCGTGGCGATCTGTAGTTTGCCATCGAGAGCCACACCTTGTCACCAACTTCAAATCGCTCCGCAGGATGTCGCTTTGCGTTGGCAGCCTCTTCTTGTTGTTGCTGTGAGGAGGCCATCACTGCTTGCATGTACTCATTGACCTCCCGCAGGCGACTGAGTAGGCTATCAGCTCTGCTTTCCTCTCTATGCCTCGGTGGCTCTTCCGATTCCTCGACGCTGATGGGATCGACGTGGTAACCATGCTCAGCGAAAAGGGGCTGATCTTGGTCGCTGCGGATTCACGATTGTTGAGTGCCAGCTGCGCGGCAGGGAGCAGTTCTCCCAGTCGTCCTGCACGTACGACACGTAGGCTCTCAGGTAGGCCTCGATCTCCTGGTTCATTCTCTCTGGCCTCCGTCCGTCTGAGGATGATAGGCCGTGCTCAATTTCTGCGTGACACCTGCAAGACGGCAGAACCTCTTCCAGAACCTACTTAGCCAGTTGCTCCCGCGGTCGCTGACGATGGACCGTGGCATTCCGTGAAATCGGTAATGACACTGGAGAAAACGTTTTGCGCACGGCTCAGCTTCCATGTTGTCCATCACCTCGAGGGTCACAGCCTTTGTCAGTCTGTCCACAATCACCCACAGGTACCTTGCCTTGCTCGGTCCAGTAGGCGGCAGATCTGTGATGAAGTCCATGGACAAATGGCTTCGGGGTCGATCTGGAATCGGGAGAGGCTTGAGAAATCCCCTTTTCGACTGGCGCCAGATGTGTGCTCTGCCGCAGGTGTCGCAATTGGCTACGAACCGACGAACCAGCTGGGACTGTCCAGGCCAGTAGAATCGCCGAGCCACAATAGCCAGCGTACCTTCCCTGCCGGGATGACCGGTCGCAACAGAGTCATGCGACTGCTGCACAATGCGGGTTCTCAACTGGTCTTTTTCAGCTTCCTCCTGGTTACCCGTCTCTCCGGATCCACCCGGCACCCAAATACGGTCTCTGAATGTCAGCCTTTTTCCTGCGTCGATCGCACATTCTGAAATCTGGATCTTCAGGCCCAGCGAGGGCGGGAAGGCACGCTCGCGATCGCGGACTGCCTTATAGGCTGCCCGGAATATCGGGTCCTTCTCCACCGTTTCGTCCCAGAGTTGCTGCAGGTCCGCTTCCTCGAAGACCTTCATCTCCGGCAGGGTGGATGTCTCTGAACACTCAGAACTCATCGCGTTGATACATGCTCTTGTCGATGATGGAATGGCACTATCCGGTATCAACTGTATCATTCTTCCTTGTTCCCGCTCGTCGTCAATGCCCTGTGGCTTGTCTTGTTCACGGCGGGACAACGCATCGGGCACGACAGCCTCGCTTCCCGGTCGATACTCGAGCTTGAAGTCGAACTGGGACACCTGGCTGCCCAACGGCTCTGCCGTTCCGTGAGCTTCTGGCGTGTCGCGAAATACCCAGGTTGCGGTGATCGGTAAGGATTGTGAATGGGCCGCAGCTCCTAAGTTCGGCGCTCCAGTTGTCGAGACATCTCATGATGGCAAGCATCTCCTTGTCGTGAATGGGATAGTTGTACTCCGCTGGCGACAGTCGCTTCGAGAAGAAGGCACATGCGTGTCGACGTCCATCTGGGCTTTCCTGAGACAGGACGCCTCCCAATGCGTAGCCTGAGCAATCTGTCTCCAAAAAGGTCAGGAGGCTCGGTTCCCACTGCTTGAGCACAGGTGACTCGCAAAATCGTCGCTTCAGCTCCTGAAACGCCTCGTTCTCCGCTCGTCTCCAACGAAAGGCAGTTCCTTTCTTAAGCAGGGCATCTAGAGGCTGCGTGATCTTGGCATAGTCGGGGATAAAGATCCGGTAGTAGTTGGCGAAGCCCAGAAAGCTTCTGACACCCTTCACCGTGGTCGGGGCCTCCCATTCGCGGATGGCACGCTGCTTCTCGGGGTCGCAGGCGATTCCCTTCCCTGCGTTGACGATGAACCCAAGGTATTTGACCTCTTGTACCGAAAACTCGCACTTCGCTGGGTCTAGATGCAGCCCAGCGTCGGCGAGTGCTTGGAGAACTCGTCGCACCTAGCCTCATGATCCGCCTTCGAACCACTCGAGTAGATCAGCACATCATCCAGGTATGCTGTGACAAAGTCGTCCAGCCACTCGCGCAACACACTGTTCATGTATCGTTGGAATGATGCCGGGGCGCCGTTCAGGCCGAAAGGGCACACGAGCCACTCGTAGAGCCCAAACCTCGTGCGAAATGCGGTCTTTCCCTCATGTCCCGGAGCCATGCGGATCTTATGGAAGGCGGCCACCACGTCCAACTTGGTAAACCACTTAGCCTTGGCCAGATTCTGTAGGGTCTCCGCGATGAGGGGCAGGGGATATCGGTCGCGCTTGGTGATTGCATTCAGCGCTCGATAGTCGCAGCAAAATCGCAGCCCTCCATTCGGCTTTCGCACGAACAGCACCGGCGCGGCAGCCGCTGAGCTACTCGCTCGGATGAATCCTCTGTCCAACAGGTCTTTCAGGGTCTTTCGCAAGACCAACAGCTCTTCTCGTGACATATTGTAGAGTGGGCCCCATGGAAGGGGTGGCTCGTGGCCGTCCTTGTCAGGCTGCAGATTGACTTCATGGTCTACACCCGGTCGATGTGGCGGCAGCTTCATTGCTTCTTCTGGTGAGAATAGGTCGCGGAATTCTTTCAGCACTTTTGCCGGGACCTTCTCGCTCGGATCGACTGGCGGCTTCGGCTGAAGCGCCCTCTCTATATCCGACAAACTGATTGCATGTATCGAGATCGCGTTGCACTCCTTGCGTCTCTTTGCACGTCGACACTCCGCCGTGAATACGGCTGCCGACACGAGTCTTGCGCTTCGAATCGCGCGTAAATTGGCGGGCTCTTCCTGCCCAACGAGGCGTATCGTCTCGCGAAGGAGAGAGCAAAAGCGGGCATAAACGTGGATAAAGGGACTTTTTGAAGGTCGAGTATCACCCGATCAGATGTTTTTTTTTTCTCCCTCCCCCGTTCAAGCAGCCCCTTTTATATCCCTCCAGGCTTCTCCCAAGTTGATATCCCGTTTTCAGGTATAGTATACATTCTATCAGGAAGAGGGCACTTCTTGCCACTTACTGAAGGCCACGTAAGTCATCTACGTCAGCAACATCAGCTCCATCTCCCCGATCAAATAGCTCTTCTAGCTATGAAATCGATAGTTCAGTCTCTCGAGGTCCCTGAGCCAGTAATAGTTATGCCGGACTCCTCAAAGGGTCCCTGTTCGAATAGGAGATCCTCCGGACCCTCAGTGGTCTAGGAAGAAGAAACAACAGTCTGCAGACTTCCCTTCTTACCTGGTTTCAAGCTGTATTACCTAGAGAGACCTAGAGACCTCAACTCGTTCGGACCTTCTTCTCGACATATCGTCACTAGGGCTGATATTTGAAGATTTTGAAGTCGAATCGGCCTCGGGACCCTTGAATTGAATGAAGCGGAATCGGGTAAGGTCTTCAAATTCGACGAATCGAAAATCAGGAGTCTTTATTCAATTCATTCATCAAATCTTGAATGAATGGCGATATGGTCGAAATATACGGTGAAAAAGGATCACCCGCTTCGCAGCTGCCAGCCAAGGGGCATGCAGGGGAGGAAAAGGCTAATGCCCAAAGCCACCCACCAAGGGCCCCCTTTTCTTTCGAAGCAGACACACACGTACACATCAAGAAACTATCGGGAAGAAAGACAGACATCAGATATGTGTCAATTGCAGCGCACCTGTAGGAGCGCGTTCCACTTTTGCCTGCATGGCGCAATGGTCTTCGCAACAGAAACGAGCTGCTTTGACCCCCATCATACCTGTCGGTAGGTCTCTACACAGGCCTGCGTGCAAATCGCAATGGTATGTGTAATCGTTGATGTCTGTTCTAGAAAGGGGGAAGAGGGGGCAAAGGGCACGGAGCTAGCTATGTGTCCTCCGCTATCCTCAACTGCACACGTGAGAGCGCACGTGACCTATCTAGATGGGTACAATGGATTACTACAATTCCCACACTGGCAACTTTTCTTTTGTGGTTGCAATCGCTGTAACGAGCAGGGAAAGAGAGGGAGAGACCAGCTGCAGTGGTGGCAATGTCAACAGGCCCAAAAGTGGGGCCATAATGAAAAGAGGGGAAAAGAGTGTATTGGGGTCAAAGAGGTGAACAGTCGAAGAAGATTTGGAAGACTTGTCGGTGACAGGAACTGTTTGATTGTGTATACCTTGAACGTAGCGCTGATGCTTGAACGTAGCGCTGGTGCTAATCAAATGCGTTGAGTCAACCGTTGTACTTGTGGTCATCGAGGTCTTTGGCTTGGCTCGAAATTGTGCTTCCTCGAGCTTTTCTTCTTTGTGGGCATATGGCTCCTCTAGGGACTACAGGCACATATTGTTATTTGCCTTGTGTGCCGGCCGGTCCTCGAGGCTCCGTGTGCTGCGGGCTGGGGCTTGTTCTTTGATCCGGGCGGGCGTCCTCTTGTGGGGTGCGGGGTTTCATGCCGGTCTGGGGGTTCTTCTTCTTCCTGGGTAGGGGTCTGAAGGATGTGGAACGTGATCCTTCCGACTGGTGTTTTGAGGGCGATGGAACCAATCGAGTGAGTGGCTTCGCCGTGTCCAAATGTGATGGTAGCCTGGCCGGAGGTTGAGCTGTCTAGGGCTACAGAGAGTCTTCTCGTTGTAGAGCAATGTACTGAGAGTGACCGGCTGTAGAGACTTTTGCTGCACCTGTGTCGATCATGATGCCTGGGAAATTGTCCACTGAATATTGATCTTCAATGACGAATTGCTAGGGGGAACAATGGTTTGATCCGTCCGGTAGACTTCTCCATTGTCTAGGGTGATTGTTGGTGCCATTGTCAGGTTCTTCCCATATGTCGTCGGTAGTGAGTTCATCAAGCTCATGACCTTCGTAGTCTATAAGATAGGCTATGAAGTTTGGAGGTTGTATGCCTGTGAATTGACAATGTGCGACATATTGGTCCTTGGCCTCTTGTCGTTCTTCTGCAGAGTGTTTGGTTGACCAGCAACCTTCTTGTCCACAAACAAAGCACTTTTGGTCCAATTGCGATTGGTGTGGCTAGTGTAGTTGCTATGGCTTGAGGGCCTGTAGCTTCCACGGTTGTAGCCTTGTCCATATCCGCGATTGGGTCGTTGTCCTGAGTATCCGTATCTTCCTCGTACGCGGTTGTTATGGTATCGGCGATCGAGGTAGTACTGATTGTTCGGATTCGTTGGTCCAAATGATCCGTCAGGGCTTTGCAAGTACTGAGGGTTTGTCTGTCGGGCAAGGTGGGTCTCAACGGAAGATCGTAGATCTGCAAAGAGGGTCTCGATCTTTGCTGCAGGTTTGAAGAGGGCGTGTTCAAGTTCGGGTACACCACGGCATGCGATGATAAGCGTAGTACGCAGTGGAATGTTTCCTGCGTAGTCAGGGCCAAGGGCTCTCTGACAGAGTTGTAGCTTATCGAAGAGTAGTTGAAGGACTTCGTGGAGGGATTTGGAAGCATCTTGGGCACGAATCGAGTTGAAAGTGGTTGTGGTCCAATCTGTATAGTAATGGACATGGTTAACTTCCGTGTCAAAGTGTTGTTTGATGCTGTCGTATGCCTTCCTAAACGTGGTAGTCCATTCGATCTTGTCAATGTAGAACGTTTGTGCTCTTCCAGCGAGGATTCGGGGGAAAAGGGCGTGAAATTGTGACGGTTTCACTTGGATGTTGTAGCAGATACTCATGAAGATTCGGAGTTTCTCATCGAGGAGGTCGTACGGCTCTCCTGTGTAGTTCTGGTCCTTATCCCAGAGCTTCATGAACATATATTGGGTATCTGCGTCAACAGTGGCATTCGGGGTATCATCCGGGGGAAGTTTTGTATATGCGTCGAGATGCATATGCTCGGACGGAGGTTTAGGTGGGGGGTTTTGGGCGGATTGGACGAGTTCGGGGTGCTTGAAGCGGTGGGTTGTCGGATGGGCTGTACGAGAGTTCAAGTTAGGTGCATCTTGGGTCAGAGCGGAAGTCGTGGGAGGTGATGTTGTTATCGGTAGTGCCTCAGTGATGGGTTCCTGGGCAGGTGGCTTCGTTAAGGTCTTAATGGGCTGTTGTTCGTTAAGACTGTAACGGGTGTTGCTACCGGTGGCGATTGGGGTTCTCGGGGAGAAGTTAGGCATTTGATCCTGTTGCTCGTAACTTATAAGCGGTCGTCCCAATGTCAAAATCCATCTCCATGTACTCTCGTTCTGGCCATGCAGGTCGGTCCTCCACAGTTTGCAACATGATGAATTGGGGTGCAAAAGGGCCATTTTTCCGTCCTGTATAGATGCCACGTCTCCTTAGAAGTAATCTAAGGGCTCTCTTGTAGTCCATATGTACCCGGTTCCATATGTCTTGGTTCCAGCCTTCGAAGTGTTGTTGGAAGTGGTCAAGGATGTCGTCTCCTTCTAGGCGTTCGAATTGGGCATTGGACATGAACCTAGCGGCGTACGTCGTAACTGCGATCTCATCTTCCTCGTCAGGTTTGATGTCTTGTCCCCAAAGGGTAACATCAACTTTATCGAATACGGATGTCTGGATAGCTAGTCCTTGCATCCGTTCGCTCAATTGTTCGAGCTGAGCGCTCTCGTTCGGAGTCGTAGCTCGGTCGGTCGGGGTCATCGTTGATCAAGTGAATGAGACGATGGAGTCGTATCTGGCTGTCGAAATACGTCTTTGTCGGGTCTAGTAACAACTGTTGATCGATGCCTTGCAGCCGATAATAGAAGTCGCTAGGCGATGTGGTCGCACTACTAATCGATGCCTTGCAGCCGATTAATAGCTTGGTAGGTTCTCCCAGATGCCTGGCAGCCTGAGATAGCCACTTAGCACAAATAACCTTCTCAACCGATGCCTTGCAGCCGATCTTGAAGGTTAGCGATTTGTCTCTTCTTCCTAGCTGTCTGTGATCGACCAAGTCGACCACTGATCAGTGTCGGTAGGTCTCTACACAGGCCTGCGTGCAAATCGCAATGGTATGTGTAATCGTTGATGTCTGTTCTAGAAAGGGGGAAGAGGGGGCAAAGGGCACGGAGCTAGCTATGTGTCCTCCGCTATCCTCAACTGCACACGTGAGAGCGCACGTGACCTATCTAGATGGGTACAATGGATTACTACAATTCCCACAGTATGCATCAATTTTTAACCTTTTTTGCCGTTTTATTATTAAATTAAGTTGGCGTTGAAGCCGTCAAGTGACACAGCCAGGTGGTTGACACAGACAGGTGGTGAGGACCCACTTTACGTGGGTCTGTGGGACGAGTAGCACCTCCCCTTGTACTCTTACTTTCTTGGCATTGACTTATTGCGAGCGTCTTTGACGAAACCCTCTGCCGACAAGCTGGGTAAAAGATGACCACGTCCCGTTGGCAAAGCTAGTTGCCGACCTTGGAGCTCTTGCTTCCGCCACTGGCGCTACCACCGCCAGAAGACTTGTAGGTAGAGCCGCCTTGGCCGTCGTTGTAGTAGGAGCTTCCGTTGGGGTTGGAGTAGTAGTATGAACCGT